CCAATCATTTAAACCTTAGGAAAATTACCGCACGTTATATACCGAAAGATCTTACTGATTTTCAACGGGCTGAACGAGTTCGAATATGTAAAGAAAACTTATCAAAATTTCAACAAGGAACATGGCGATTATGTGACATAATTACTGGTGACGAATCGTGGTTTTATCATAAACAGATTGGTCGAAAGACTTCAAATGCAGCGTGGGTGAGAAGAGGAGATCCTCCACCTACTGTAGTTCGTCAAAGTAAGTATGCTCCAAGGACCTTATTAGCCATCTTTTTCAAGTCGAACGGTCCTCTGCTTATTCATCGTTTGGAACGAGGACAGACTATGGACCACCGTTATTATATTGATAATTGTTTACGTCCTCTTATCGATGAAATTAAACGTCAAAGACTTTCATGTGGAACCCATGACATTAAAATTCATCATGACAATGGAAAACCACATGTTCATAGGGATGTGTGTACTTATCTTGAATCAAAAGGTTTTACAATTATGCCACATTCACCTAATTCTCCGGACCTATCTCCTTGCGATTTTTGGTTATTTGACTTAATCAAAGATAATCTGTCTGATCAAAGTGATTCACAATCATTATATGACGCGGTGGTCAATTTCATGTATTCTTTGAGTAACGAAGAATACAAGAAAACCTTTGAAAAATGGATGGAAAGAATGCAATTATGTATAGATAATCAAGGTGGTTATTTCGAACATTTGATAAAATAAACAATTGATAAACTCGTCCTTGTAGTTTTTTTTTGTTGTATCACTATTACTTCTTGTTCACTATGAAATATATAGATAACTAGTTATTATAAGAGATAAGAAAATCATGACAAAAGAACGAGAAAAAAAGGAAAAACAGCGAAAAAAAAACACGTGTAGATGATTTTATGCACTATTACAACCAGCTAGAGTTCAACGAAAAAAGGTTTTGCCCAGATTTTATTATAATGTTCTTAGTTGAATATTGATCAAATAGCATAGAAAAATATAGCATCTTTCGCTCTATCGATTGGTAAAAAGAGAAATTTTTTTTCACTTATAAATAAGAAAAAAAAAGGTCTCCGCCACTACTTTTGGATAACCCTAAGTAGTTCTTAAGACTCTAGATAATGTGTAATATGTATGAGAGATGTTTTAAATCATTAAATTTTATAATTGTTCTAGCATGCAATACAACTATATCAAGCATGAACTACATATAGGTTGATTACGTTATTTTGTGATAGGTTTTCTCACTTGAATCTGTTTATACAGAACCTTCAAAGTTCGTTAAATTTACGAAGTCGAATAAAACATGATTACTCTATGAATCTACATGGTTTTTGTTTAACTATATTTGTATCTTTTCGAATAGTTTAATTAACTTTAGGATGCACTGGATTGAATCTTTCCAACTTCCGTATTTTCTTTCAACTAATTAATTAAAGATGAAAATTGAATTAAATAGAAGAAACCCATCAAAGTTGAGTATATAAGCAATATTAAACAGCAACTACTCGAACTTGAATAAAATATTGAATTTTAATTTTGAAATTTACTCTACTCTTGTACTGATAAAAAACCAAATAAATTACTGTTCGCTGAACTTCGCTTGTATGACTGAATTTTCACGATGTCGTATCTTTCTTATTAACTGCGTCGCACTATTCATCTCGTGCGACCCATTGTAACTGATACTAACTAATTACAAGTGACTCCTCCTCATTTGTAATTAGTCACGCTCTAGCGAAAAGAGCTTAGCCGCACGAAGCTTGTACAAAAGTCAATCTCTATGAGACTTTCCTTCTTAATTGATTCCATTTAAAGAAGTAGGATAAGTTTTTCGAACAAACTTTTTTAATTTCTTTTTAATTTTTTTAAAGCTTTTTAAAAATATCTATTTTTGCTTCCAGGTATTTAATTTTTTTTTAATTTTTTCAAAAAAGTTTTTCACTTCAATGCAATTTTTTTAATGAAAATTTTTAATTTTCAAGCATGTGGATGCATGAGTATCGACCATGGATTTAACTATGGTTGCGACTGTGAATTTATATTTAATCCACATCCTATGTGAGTTTATTGAACTCAAACATTTGTTACGACATGTAGTTTTAGATTCTAAACATATCTGATGATGACTGAGATAAGCTCAAGTCGAAATGTGTCGTATGCTGCTTTTAAAGTGTAAGATATGAAACTCAACCAAAACCTGGATGAGCTATTTGTTGGGTTCCTTTCAAAATATATAGAGTTTTCGAATCAGAGTCAATGTAAAAATTTGACAACCATACAGTTCATTGAAATAGTTGGTGTTTTATTTGACAAAGCAAATCCAATAATTTTCTACACTTTTTGTAAATATACTTAATTGAACAAAATTAACAAAAATTGTTGATGTGATCTGCATTTCTTCAAGAATTGTCGAAACTTTTAATGTCGATAAAGAATGAATCTACTAACCAATTGCAGTTTGTTAGAGAAAAAAAAACATTTTATTTTATCTTTGTAAACATAAAACATTGTTTTTTTCAGTAAAGAGTAGTCAATGACAAGAAAATCCTGAAAAATTATCTTAAATTTCTTGCATGCAAAAATCTGTTCAGGATGTCTTCCGATATTCATCGAATTTTTCGATAAGGTGACAATAAAAAAAGTAAAAAGTATAAATATCAATGAAGTAGTTCATACTCTATCTAAATGTATCAAAATAAGAAGCACGCTAGATTTTGTGTATACATAGCGAAGTAATCAAAATTATCAAAAATCAGGTAACTAAACTTAACACTTAACGAAGTCGTTATTAGTGAGCTGAAAAGGTCGATTGTCTTCCATCTTCAAAGACATATGTTACTTTTCAAATAATGAAGACTTTTTGAACGCGCCTCCTTATATAATCGTGCACTCATATTTAACTAATCACAAAGACTAATAGACTAAGCCTGACTTTCAATAATTTTTTGAATATGACTTTTGTTTTCTTTTCACACATTATTTTACTGAATACTATCTGCAACAATGGAAACCATATGCTACCCAATCCAAAGTTAATAGCATTGTTGTTTATATTTGTGTCTGTTTTTACCCGTAGTTCTATGGAAATCCTCGAATATTGGCCTCAAAAGCTATCGCAGCTTAATATTTTCATTTATACTAAAAAGCAACAAGAACAAAACTATCAGACATCTTGCAATCAAATGCTGGCGACATAAATTTATCTGATTCTTGTGATTGAATCTCTGTTTATACTTGTGCTCTTCATTTATTAGACTAGAACGCATTTTTCTATAACAGTATCAAATCCATCATTTAATGTATACAAACGGCTGGAAACTGTAAATCAACGTACCTTAAGGTGTTCTTGCAAACATATTTTAGTTCCATATTCTGACTTTTTGTCGTTTCAACAAACCTAGAATCCTGTAAGAATTTCTTCTACCATTTAAGTATGTCAAAAGGTTGAAAATTATATTGCATTTCTGTAACAAAATGAAATTAGCAAGTTTTGATCACAGGTTTGTTTTAAAGAACAGAGCGCACTAGTGAATTGTTGTTTATACGACTGAAAAACTGAAAATAAATTCATTCCGATTAACCCATGTAATTCAAACCGGAAAAAAATCGGCGGTATACCAGCGGTTGACCGTTCGTTATAATGGACGTTATACCGGCGGTAGCTTTTTGAATATCAGTGGTATACCGACCATATACCTACAGTAGAGTCATGTTTTAGCAGAATGATTAGGGTTTGAGCCTACTCGTTTTCAGTCGTGTGATTTCTGTAGAAACAAATTTAATTTGACATAAACAGACGATTGGTGAAGCAATTTTTTTAATCAAAAACTCTTATATTTTGTATGTTTACGAATTACAAGTTATTTTTAAGTACTATCTTACCGTTTATGAGAAAAATTCAATAGATAATATTCTTACTTTTCTCAGAAATGACTATATCTCATTCAAAAAATAACCCAATACACATAAATATACACAATAAGCTGATTTTTTTTATCAAATAATTTACTTAATCAATTTTTTATCTAAAGTCAAATTAGATTTAATTCTTAAAATGATAAGACCACAAATAGTTGATATCATTGCTGTCTATGATTCTTCTTTCTTTCATCATTTTTTGGAGAAAGAACCAAAAAAAACTGATGCCAAATTTCTTCTAAAAAAATACTAAACCTGCCTGTTAATAGAGAATTAAAAAGTTTAAAAAAAAATCAAAGTGTGAATATTTGGATAAGAATAATTTTTTTATATTTGTAGCGAAGTACTTAAGTTAATTTTGTAGGTGTGACTTATATAAAAAAAAACAGAATTCATGCACCAAATCGAAAAAATTGAAGAGAAACTTTTCCGATGAAAATAAGTTAAAGAAATCATTTAATATCATTATACAATAAAAAAAATGTGTCATTATATCGCCTCGTAAATATGTAAAGTGGTATTGAAAACAAAAGCTTTGTGTTCAATGTGCTTTTGTTATTTATACTAAACAATAAAAACATAACCGCCAATATACTTCGGTATTTATTTGACCGGCGGTATACTGCTGTACCCCTAAAACCATCGGTATAACGCGTTAGTGAAGAAAACCGACTGTAGTTCAAGTAAATGTCTAACATAGAAAAATTGATACGACAGACAGAATCAAAATAACTGAAGTTTTTCCTAATGACGTTACTGATTCAACAGCATTTTCTAAAAAGACAGATAGTATGTATCTGATGTTCTATTGTAACGTAAAATTTTATTTAAATCCAACATCACTTGGCTTTGTCCTTTCTGGAAGGAGAATCAAGATTTTTTAATTCTTGTCTTTTCCATGTTTAAAATAGCATCGAGGTGTCCTCTTTGCAATTCATATGCATGTGAGTTTCTGATAATAAATTAGCACTTCTATTAAATAAAACATTTGAAATAACTAGCTTAACAATATCTTGCTGCAATTTTTATATGTCTTGTCCGAAATTTAATGATAGTGATTACTGCTCATTTAAAAAATAGTTAAAGTATGAATCATGAACTCCTGATTCGCAATCAAACGACAAAGGTTCCGTTATATTCGCTGTAGAAAAGAAGTTATAAAGCCTACAAGAAAGATTTTTTTTTCTTCTTTTTCAAAATCATCTATCGAACAAAAAAAAATCAAAATTACTTGAGTTTCTCTGTCATGATTCGTTGTTTCGAAATAAAACTAATTTTTACTAATTCTAGAGATTTTTTGTAATGTATTTTTTATTTCCAAAAAAAAAAATTGGTTTGTTCTTTTTTTGACTGCGTTTTGTATCTGCGTTTTTTTTTTGAAAGGAGACAATATAGAAAGAAAGAAAAGGAATCAATATATTCGAAACGCTTTGTAACAACCGTGGAAAAATAATCAGTTCATTCACACTAAATATTTGGAAAGTTGAAGCGCAACAAACATCAATTTTGGTCCTTGTGGGTAGGTGTGAGGATGTGGGTGTGGGTGTGATTGTTGGTCATATCGTCTCAACAATACCTACACCCAGACCCATCCACACCCACACACCCACACTCACACTCTAAAGAAATAGTTGGAGGATTTTCTGTATTAATGCACGATGAAGTACAACAGACAATGGTGCTGTGTTACCACACAATCATGATGGTCAGAAGCTGATTTTTTGATTTTGTCATTAGCATGATTGGGGCCGTTTTCTAATTTTATTGACGATACAGATGATGACAGTTTTTGGTCTTCATTGAGTCACAGAATATGAATTTTTTCCACAATACTTTCGATATCATCAGATATTCAACTACAAGACATTCGTCAATCCGTATCTAAACATGATGAGAGGAATGGTAATATGAGAGCAATAAAGTGATACAAGAATTATGAAATCTGCATGATTGTTGGTGAGTAAAACATTGTTTGAAACAATTTTTATTGAAAAAGCGACACCTTCAATGTCTAATTTGATCATTTTGTGTTTAAACAATAAGTATTAAAACAATAAAAATTGATAAAAAACTAAAGGCTTTTTGATAAACAAAAGCAGCATTGTTGTTTGTGCTTATTTGTTTTTGACACTGAACTGGTTCAAAATCTTGATATTTTGGTACAGCATCAAGAGGTTCCGTCTCAAATTGTCCTGCTCGAGCAAAAACTGCTAGATGTGGGGCTTTATTGTAATATTCTTGCCATTGTTTAGACGATTCTGGTGTCCATTTCAAATCGAGGAACCATTTTTTGGCAGCAAAATAATCAAATGGTGCTCTATTTAAAGAATTAAACTCAATTTTCAATATTTGATTCAATGAAAACAAGTTACGAAGAATTGATGATATCTTGTAATGATTGGACTGTATTCATCGTGAAACATACAGAAAGATCATCCATCCGAGGATAATAAGTGACAAAATGTAAACACATTTCATCTCTTGTTCTTTCTCCACCCTAAAAAAATTTTTTCAATATTAATAAAATAGATACTATTCATACCAATGTAACTTCATTTTTGTTCATTGTATTATAAATGCATCGAGTAGCAAATTCATCTCCCTTAAAAACAACAAAATTTAAAACGTAAAAACATTCAATAAATTTTTCTACTGGATAAAGTTGTATTGGTTTTGCTAAACGATTTTCAAATTGATAATTAAAATGATATGATTCAGCATTAAATAAATATTCAACAGCTGTCTTATTACGAATTAATTTAGTCCATAAACTAACACCTAATTGAAAATAAATTCAAATATTTCTCATTATAACATGTGATATTTTCTATGAGTATCCTAGGAAACTTAATGAAATACAAGTATAGGTGATATACTATTATACCTCTATGATCTCTAACCTATCTTTAAGCGAATATATACTGATATCTTCATGACCTATGTAATAACATGCATAGATACAAAAGATACTTAATATTACACAGAAGCAAATAAAAAGATAATCAATTCCATGATATCAAATACATATTTTTGCACATTTTCCCTTGCTAATATACCCATAAAATTTCTGACTGTCTTCTCTTATGGCAAAGCACGCACAGTGTCATCACATCAGATGTGGATGTCATGCAAACACAAACACACACTCGTAGTGCTTCGAATGAGTTTTTGACCGCAGGAAAAACAGAAGGGATTAGGTCTTTTCGTATTACTATAGTATTTTCCATATAATTTACCTATGTCTGTTTTTGTATGGATTATGTTGCACATGCAGCTGTTAGAGGAAAATGCAGATATTAAGTTTTAGCAAGTAATGAAGATATAACGCTTAAATCTTTCTCGCAATGGAAGACCATCGTTGAACGAACTATGCTCTGAACGTTTATAAGTTTACCCGCCAATAATTATTTCTAGGCAGTTATAGAACTTTGCTACTATATTCACTTCAAAATATGTCTAGTTTTCTACAAATTTTCAAAAGAATATTAAAAGGATGTGGTGAGCTATTTTTTAAACCATTTAGACTCTAAAACTCTCTTCACAAGCCTACGAAATCGTTTTAGGTTTTTTCAAAAGTCTTTGTTTATTAGAAATTGTGGAAATAAATGAGAAGGAATGCAAGAGTTTCTTAAAAAATTTTTGTACGCCTAGACATCATATAATACTCAGAAGTGCTCGATAGCTTCTAGGCCTTTATCTTTCCTATATCTATCATACAATAGTCGTTTTCAACAAGCAATGGGTGTGGTTATATTTTTTGAATAACTTTTTATAAGAACTAATTAGATAGAGATCTGTGATTTTCATCATTCAAAAGAGGAAATGAATCTGCATTGAATCTTGAATACCATACTTTTCTAACAAGTTTTCTCGGGCTCTTCCGCCAAGTTCTTTAAAAACAACGCTTTGCGTCATACAAAAGGTTTAGTATTTTAATTTTCAGCAATGCACTAGAATTCTTATTTGAAGGTTAGTAATTTATGAAAGTTCGATATTGAAAGGTTCAACCAATCATGAGTTATTACCATTTTACTACGTGTTATTGGCAGATATTCCACGAAAAATGGACTTCGTTTCTGATTTTTTTACGAAAAATCCACCTTCCAAAACTATTTAAAAGCCTCGGTTTTTAAAGAAGAACTCGGCGAGAGACTCTGAGAAAACTTGTTAGAAAAGTCTGGTCTTCAAGATTTAATACAGGTTCATCTTCTCTTTTAAATGATGAAAACCGTAGATTTCTATCTGGTCTCTATCAAAAGTTATTCAAAAAACAGCAACACCCATTGTTTTTTGAAAATGAGTGTAGTACTTAATTGAGTTTCCGAGAATATCCTGAAAAACCATTTAATCAAATATAATAATCTTTCACTATACCTTGTAAGTGAGTATGTGGAAAAGAAGATAATACTGTTATGCCCGATTTTGGAATATTCTAAAAAGAAGATTTTCTTATTTATTTATTAGTATGCATTGAAACGTACGCGAGTAGCATTACTTGGACAATAAGAATCAACTATAAATTTTTCAACTTTTGGTGGGATAGCAAGACCAAGAAGAGTTGAAACTGTGCCAAATGTTAAATAGCCAAGATCATGTTGACGAAGTTGATTACCAAGATAAAATCGAATTCCAGAACTATCGCGACGGTCTAATTAGAATATAAATTGTTTTTATTTCAAAAACAAAGTCTTGTTTTACTTGAAGTTTGTTTTGGATTATCATAATGCATTTGAACCATAAAATATTTATTTGGAGAATTCAAACCAACTGGATATCCAGCTTGTTCAGGAAATTCAATTAGCTAAAATATATTTATTTGATTATTTAACATTGAACGTAATTGTTGATATTACATGATCACCTCCAACTGCCCATCCAGTAGCAATACTACTTGAACAAGGTTCGATTTTATCATTAATTTCATCACAGACTCCATCAGGAAGGTTGTTATCATCAAAAGTAAATGAAGGATTACATTCATGCATAAGTAAATGATGAACGAGATCGGAATTTTCATTATCAATCAATATTTTGTACTATTCAAATAAAAAGAAAGTTTTTAGTATCATCAAATAGCTTATTACATACAGCAATAGCATGTCGTTTTGTTGCATAAGAAGTTGGTGCTTTGTAAATCTTACAATGATATGTTGTATCATTCGATGGAACAATGTACTTTAAGAAAATAATTAAATTAAAATATTTAATTCAATTGTTTAACTAACATTGCTTAAACGAAGTTCAAAATAATCAAGTTCAGCAAATTTGTCATTCGATGGTGGTTGACTATAAGATTGAAGTGGAATCATACGTGTACCTCGACGATTTTCATGATAGCTTATCTCAGATTCATCAGGATCAACAAGACCATATGCATATATCAAAATATTTGTTCCACTCTATTAAACAAGAATCAAGAGATGAAAAAAAGTACATTCCTTTAGAATTTTCTGAAGAATGGGTCATCTGAAAAATTTTTAAATTTTTAGGACTCGTAGACCTTGATTAGTAGAGCAAAGGTTGTTAAAGATGTAATACTCCTGAATGATGTCTTCTATGAAATACTAGAATCATTATGGCAAAAATGGCCCCAATTTTAGTCCTATTTCACCGAGATGCAGCATACGATGTGTTTAGAGGTACTAGACATTGTTTGGATTGGGAATTTTTTATTTTTCTCTTTCAGATAGAAAAGCTAAAATGTCCAAGGTACCCTAAAAGTCGCATTTGTTTCAATAAAGCTCTTGTGTAAGATTTATCAAAAATCAGTAGAGCAACATTTTTTGAAACAAAAAAAAACATAATCATTTTTAATATTGTTTATTATATATGAAAAACGCTTCAGCTTGGTCAGATCTATTTGGTCAGAGAAACTGGGGCATTTCTGCATTTTTTTCATGAAAATGTTTTGAGAAAAATGCAGTTTTCGCTGTTTCCGTGATGTAAATTTCCTTTCTCCTCGGATTTTTTAACGTTTGAACGCCATTTTTGAATCTCAAAATGTACTCAGTAGATGGATACTACTTAAGACTATACAATGGCGACAAAAACCAAAAAACAACTGGAATCACAAGAGGAAGTGGAACTTTTAAATTGACGACTTAAGAAATATGAGTTTTCAACTAATTCTAATCAATGGATCAGAATAACAGTTTTGTTACTCCAACTAAATTTCGATGCCGCTCACAACTTGACGGAACTTTCTGCTGAAATCATCAATCTTTGTGTTAATCTGTTTTAAACATCAAATAAACTTTAGTAACCGATCGACTTTTTTCTTTGAATAAATTAATGAATTTTATCAATCGCATTTTGTCTATTAGTTACAACGAGATTTAGTTTTTAGTGTCAACAAATGTTTTTCGAAGTTCAGTCAAAATATTATGCGGAAATAAATTATCGTATCCAATCGGAATCTATTCGAAAAGATTTAGTTTTTCTTGGAGAAGAAAACACTTGGTAAATCTGTTTAAATGAAATGAAACCTTAATTGGATAATCCATTGAATCACATGTATCAAGCAAACGTTTGAATTGAATGGCTGTCCATCCATTCAATTCGCGACCTTGCACCGCAGACCAATCGTTTGTTGTATTATCAATCATTGGTTGAGCGAAACCAGACGCATATCTATCCTAAATCAATCCATAAGTAAAGAGCAAAAAATATAAAAGAAAGAACATTTGTCATACTTGAAAATAAACTTGCCCTCGACTATCAACCCATCCAACTCCTATATCAGCACCTGTCATTCCTCCACCTAAATCAAAATAATTAACAGTTCAAACTCAAAATTGAAATATAAATCTACCTGGACTAATACCCAAAGCAATCCAACCCGTAGTTCTTATATGCAAATCAAATGTAATTTCTTTACGAACATCATCAATAGTCCACCAAAGATCAGCTATATTAGCTTCAAGTTCTATTGAATATTTATAATTTGCCATTGGTTGAATAGGACTTGAAGTCGATGCACATTTCTCAATGATCAATAACGCTAAAGCAACTCTTAGCCACATCGTCTGATTTTAGATGATGATAAACACCTTTATGAAACAAAACAGCTTATTTATATATATTTGATATCGTTTGTTCTAAATATCTCTTAATCACTTTTGATAATGTCAAATACGCAGTTAGATTTTGTTTTCTTTATTTAATCCTTTGATCTGGAAAGTATATTGTGATCATGAGAATCTGTTATTTATTGAAATTGTTCGTATATTTATTCTGATTGATGAGTAATCGTACTATATAGACACCTCAGCTTCATTTTTTAATCGATGTTTGAATCATTTCTTTGTAATTTTAAAAATGTCAAACTATGAATCATTCATGTTCTATGTTGTACAGGACAAATCTTTCAGTTCTTTCGTTTATTGGTGCATTTTAAATATGTTCTTCTGATTAAGTGTATAGAATGACTGTCAATATTGTATCAATTTAACATAAGATATGACAAGAAATAGTAGAAAAAAACAACGAGATTAAAAGCCTCTCAATAATTTGATCTTTCAGAATCTAATCTTGAAAAACATTCTAATGACAGTGAAATTTTTCTTTCTCATGATACTATGAATTTGATCTTTTCATTAATATATAGTCTTCATATTTAAGATAGATTGACTTTCATCAAATAACATAAAAAATTGAGTGAATATATGTTTACATTCTCTACATGTACTAGTTATGAATGGTAATCTCCGTCGCTTCTGAATTCATATCGGAACTAAGAGAAAAACAAACAGATAAATCGATGTGATTTCTAAGATGAACAGAATTTGATACGACATGAATAGACGAACTACTCCATAAAGTTTACGAAAGGTAGAAATGAGACGTGAGCATGATCTTCCTTGTTTTAGAATACTGTTAAGTAAAGAATTCAGCTCAATTGCTCAACTTAATAAAAATTTCGTTAGCGTATTGGTGAAGATGATTCTCTATTATTGTTGATCAGTGTGGAACACCTTATTACTTTAGGGTGCGGGTGTGGTATGTGGTGTGTGGGTGTGGGTGTGGGTATGGAGTGTGAAGTGCGGGATGTGGGTGTAGATGTTGGCGTGGGTGTCAGCGTGAGTGTGGTAGTGG